GTTCCTGTGAGGATCGTCTAAATCTTGTGAACTTGATCCGATGCTAATTTTCATACTAAACTCTGACCTTGATACATTTCCTTTGTTAATAAGGGATATAATCAATTAAGCTATCTGGCTTTTGTTCTAACATCCTTCAAGCTGTTCTTCGTCCTGTCATCAAGTTAACAGTTTTAGATAGAAATTATATAACTACATACCTGTGGCAAACCTCCCCTTCGAATCTCAAATTTTCGAGAGAAAATCTTTTAAAGAAGACAATGCACACTCATTGTTGTACTGGCTAAGGAAATTAAGGAAACAACATTGTAAATGAGTCCAATAATGTTATTAATAAGGGTGATGATAACTGGCAAGCAATGAAAAACGATGATGTATGACGTTGAAAATGACGTTGAATGACAACTGACGTAGAAAATATGACCAGAAATAACTGATGTATGGAACTAATTAAGCTCCGTTATTAGCAGAACTATTTTTCTATTCATATGAAGCAGAATTTATGCAAAATCTTATGTGTGAAAAAAAAGAAGCCACTTGCTGTGGTCCTCAACTCGACCTTCAGATATATCGACGACGTATTGTCAATTAACAATGGTAATTTCCATTCCTACCTCGATACGATATATCCAGGAGAGCTTGAGATAAAAGATAACTCAGACTCTGACACATCTGTTTCATACTTGGATATTTTACTTGAAAAAAGACGTTAATGGTAACATAACAAGTATGTGATAAACGTGACGACTTTAACTTTTCTATCGTCAACTTCCCTTATTTATGCAGCAATATACTTTCATCACCTGCATACGGAGTGTATATATCTCAGTTGATTCGATACGCAAAGGCATGCTCTACGTACAAACAATTTCTAAAACGAGGTAAATTATTCACAAGAAAGTTGATGAACAAGAAGATCAGCAGTCTCGTTTAAAGTCATCATTTCGTAAGTTCATTGGTTGATACAAAGACCTTGTCAGCAAATACAATTTATCTTTGAGTCAAATGCTGACAGACTTTTTTAAACTAATTGTCTGTCCAGTATTTATACACTGAATTGACGACGGATTTTTCGATATTTCACGATCATGACAATAAGCACACGGCGGGTGTGACCGGTCAGCAGGGGATTCTCACTCCTCCATGACACCTGATCCAACCTCTGATGTTTCGGAGGTCCTTGTTTGCTCTGCTCCTATTTTGTATTGTTTTATTGACTTTGATATTGAATACTGTTCGTTATCTCCATATTCTTCTTATAGTAACAAATGATGTTGACGTAGGAACAAATGATGTTGACTTGAAAATATAACGTTGATGATTTACAATTAAGAAGTTTCCTACAGTGAAATAAATATCAGTACAAAGAAAACATGGAAAACTAGTAAATGGTAAACTGATAAAAACTGCGGCACCAAGTCCTGCCGCGTTTCGCCATATCACAGGCTCCATACAAAAAATAATGTGCCCTAAAAAGATGACATCACGTAACAACTAATGACCCTAAAAAGTCTAGTTACCGAAATGGCCGTAATAATTTTAATGATAATGATACCTAAGCTTACCTTGTCTTAAACCCAGGAACAACTTAACTATCCTTACTGCTTTGAAACCTGGAGCATGCTTGGAAAAAAATCAAACAAGGATGGTATGTAAATTCTTAGCATGCAAAAGATAACCCCATCCGTGTCTCGTGCATGCTACTACTAAGATGAGTAATGCTAGAATAAAACGAATGATTTCAGAAGATGCCAGCAAGAATCAGTTCTGTGCATTAGTGACATCAAGACTCGACTATGCCATTGCCCTTCTCTATGGTTTAAATGCAAATAATCAAGTCAAATTTTATAGAAAACAGAATAAAGTGATACATACCTGTGCCAGGAAGAGAGAGAGCACATACTCTTATTCTCATATTTCTACAGTTGCCGCCAAATGAAAATGGATCAAGCATAAAATTCTATACCACATACATGCAAATTATAAACGACATGACACCAAAATACATTGTAGAACTCATCAACATCTACGAAACTCGTTGTTCTCTAATAAGATAAGAAAACCAGTAACCACTGCAAAGACAATGTTGAATTTCTACTGATAGCAATACATGCAGACGTTTTATTATGGCTACGGCGTCCTGTGTACTGTAGAACTGTGTACTTTCATGTCTTTATTTATATTTACATGTATTTGATGTGTACAAATCTGTACAGTATTTTAAATTGAATTTGAACAATTTTGTAATTTATGTCTACGTGATAAATTTCCTATCAATTTCGATTTAAAGTATTATTGAAAAGGGATCGGATCGCCTTGATAAAGTAATTGCAATTACTAATTTTCTTGGTCGCATTAAAGCGATCTATAGTTCTGTGATTAAACTATTTTTTTTTCAATTTCAGGTAGAATTAATCTAAAATTGTTATAAAAATCTCCAATGTCAAATTATGAATTAAAAAAAAAAGAAAAGTAATTCATTCTTCACTTACAAACGTACCCTATACGTGGTTTATTATACCCTACCATGTACTGCAAATTCCTCATTTTTTGCGAGTATTAATTATCGTGAAATGGCTCTTTAACGTCAAATTGCGAGAATATTTATTCGCAAATGAACTATTAGTTCAGAGATTTTACATTGAATTTAGCATGATAAAAATATATAGCGAGTAACTTAATTTCGCGATTAATGCTTCTCGAGAAATTACGCTATAATTAATTCCTTGTGTATAATTAGGAATCTACAGTAATGGGAGATGCTTAATTGTTAGGGGAAAACATTTTTTCCCAGATCTTTCATTACTTAAAAAGAAACAAAATCAAAGAGGACTGTGTCTCCGCTTCAAGGATCGGCCTGTTGTACCTCTGCAGTATAGAACTTATTTCAAGCTGTTACTTGCATGCAGTGGATCATCATAATCTAACCGGAACCCCTTGCAGCAAAACGTAATGATGAATAGATAAGTATAATAATTATTACATAATAATGAAATTAACGACAGTCTGTTCAGGGATTTTGTCCAAGTGATAGACCTGATATCTAACGTTTAAGTTACATCTCTAACACAGTAAGTAAACAATATACATTTTGAGCTTTAAAAGCTGCTTAGAATTATTCCGATTTGTCAATTTGAAATGCAGTGCTTGACGATTATTATTTTAGCGATTGACTAGAAATTCTCTAATTATACGAAGAAAAAATAAATGTTCGCGGCGATTAACATTTGCGAGTTAAAGTAGGTAGCAAAAAAAGCGGATATTTCTCCCACGCAAATAAAAGTAAATTTACGGTATTTGCCATGTTTACATTATTGTTAATAGAAGTTTTTCATACCATTGTTAATTATCTAATTATAACCTTTTGATTCAGCTCACGTATTTAAATTCCCATTATACGGGATTTACTTCTTTGAATACCTTTGTATACCTGTAAACACAAGTATACATAACCTTACAAGTACTTGTAAGTACAAATATAAATATCCGTAGGTACTCTTACATGTAAGTACTCGTAACCCCTAGTATCAATAATCTCTTAAGTACTTGTAAGCACTAGAATTAATATCCTAGTTAGTGCCTTTAAACATAAGTATTTTAAGATATTCTTGTAAATGGTTGTAAGCACACGTATAACTGTCTTTGTAAGTAATTTTATTACACACTTAGTAATAAATACAGGTTTTTTGCATATGCGATATGGCTGACGTCACAATAGCCGTATCAGCCTTGCAGGGCTGATATGGATTTGCGGGGCTGATAACCTATATCAGCCCCGCAAATCCATATCAGCCCTGCAGGGCTGATACGGCTATTGTGACGTCAATATCACACCCTTAGTAAATTAAACCACAAAAGCAGTACTTGTGATCGTACACAATTTTTGGGTTTTATTATTCTCTTAATTTTAAATTTTTGAAAATAAGGCTAATCTTAATTTACAAATACATGTAATAGATTATTTAAAATTACGGATCGAGTGCATTGAAATAGAAACAAACCCAAAGTGTACGAGACAATAGATCATGTATATTTCTGTAAGAAGTCCATGGAAGATTATTTACTTATTTTCTTCACAACTTAATGTGTTCTGTATTTTATTACTAGGTATGTAATAAATATAATAAAACATACCCTTTTCCACATCACATCCTGTATCAGCCCTCGACCAATATCAGCCCTCGGGCCTTCGGCCCTCTGGCTGATATTGGTGTCTCGGGCTGATACAGGATGTGATATGGAAAAGGGTATGTATTGTTCTCTATGTAATCACAAGTATAAATATCCTCGTAAGTACTTGTAAGCACTAGTATAAATATCCTGGTAAATACTTGTAGGCACTATTACATTTAATCCTTGTAAGTACTCAAAAGAGTGCTTATGACGGACACATTTATACCCTTTAAAATTTTAAATTCCCTTGTTTGTAGCTTAACCTGAGATGAAGCTCTGTTTTTCTGATGAGTTGTTATCCGTTACTGTAGCTGTCTGTGTGTCAATCTGTAAACTTTTCAAATTGAGCCAATTTCTATCCGACGTTTGTACAAAGCAGCCCTATAGGTTACGAAAATTTTACATTGTCAAAAATGAAGGACTTAGTACCCTCATAAAAAAACAAAATCAAGGCAATCTAATTAAAATTAGATTTTAGAGCCAGTCGCATACTCACTACACTAACATCCAACAACATCCCATAGAGGCCGGGTCACGTCAGAGGTCAAATTCGGAACAGCTCTAGTCTTATTCACTTCAACAATATACGATGATCAAAATGGAAACATCTGGTATCGTAGATTTATTTTGGTTCAAATTACTGTCACCGAAAAAAAGCCGCGAAACAAATGTCAATCAAAAATTTATTAAGAAAACATGAGAATGGAGGAAAAACTGATGCAGAAAAATCGGGCTAAAATAATTCAGGTGACCGTTGCTATAGTTATCTTTTTTAATTAATGATCTCATCATTTTAGGGAGGAATTGGATTTGAGGAACTCGTTTTAAGCATGCCAGCTGCTTCTTTTCATCGACATCGTTCAGCGTGTTTTGCAATTTTACTTATATGCCCTACTCTACATGAAGTAATGTCGAGTAATTCTGCATTTCAAAACGCAAACACTGCCAAAGCTTTCTCAAAAGCAAACAGAGAATTTATGTTGAGTCTTTTGAAGCAGTTACCATCGAAATCAAACGTCTTCTTCTCGCCTTTCAGTATTTCTACGGCCCTTGCAATGGTTCATTTAGGAGCAGGAGCAGAAACCCTCGAGGAAATGAACCAGGTTCTTCACTTTGGCACACTGGGTAATGACATTTACTCTGCATACGGCACGTATCTAAGGTATCTTTCGGCAGCTGCTGAAAACAATACCTTGGAAACTGCAAATAGAATTTACAAAAGCATGAGGTTTACGGCAGAAATATCATTTCTTCAAAGGTGTAGAAAATATTTCAATGCAACAGTAGAGTCTATGGATTTTGCAAAGTCTCAGATGTCACGTAGGAAAATGAATTCCTGGGTTAGTCAGCAAACACATAAGAAAATCCAAAATCTCATCCCGGCAGGAGCATTAAACAGACAAACATTAATGGTTCTTGTAAATGCTATTTACTTTAAGGGAAGTTGGAATAGTAAATTTAAATCAGAGCACACAACAAAAATGGAATTTCGAAATGGCAAAGCAAGATTCATGACGGATATGATGTACCAGAAAGGATATTTTGAAATTTGTCATGTTTCAGGCTTGAAGTTTGACATCCTTGAACTTCCCTACGAGGGCAAATCAATAAGTATGTTTATTCTCCTCCCAACTGACGTAAATGGTTTAGAGACCGTTGAAAAAAGTTTGACCGAGACTGTAATAAGAAATGCACCAAAATGTCTAAGAAAAAAAGAAGTGAAGGTTTATCTGCCAAAATTTAAACTGGAGTCTGCATTTCAGCTGAAGCCTCATTTGTCAGCAATGGGTATGCCGTCAGCTTTTGACCCAATCAGAGCCAATTTTTCAGGCATATACAAATATCAAGACGTTTACATCAGTGAAGTTTTCCATAAAGCCTTTGTAGAGGTCAATGAAGAAGGAACTGAAGCTGCCGCGGCCACGGGAGTCGTTTTCACATATGAATCCGTTCAAATCCCTCTAGAGTTTCGAGCCGATCACCCGTTCCTATTTTTTATTAGTGATAATGTAAACGACGTTATCTTATTTGCTGGGAGATTTAACGATCCAGTCAGTGTTTAAGAGAAAGGGATTCAAAAATTGTCTATGATTTAGACAAAATATTTGTAGATTGCAGATGCTTTTTCTATTTTAAAGTAAAATTATCATAAATTAACTCGAGATTCGTTATTTGTTTTCCCCGTAATGAACGAGAACACGTTAGCACAGTAGTGGCAGTCCAAAAAAAAAAATTCCTTATTACAAACATAACCCAGGCCATGTATTTGTTCCTCACTTTGCAAAGGGAACTACCACTATGTTACTATATAATTATGTAAACAATCAGCAGATTTCCGGTTATAAACTTTCATTTCTTTGTTAAGAAAGTTTAAAGACATCTTACGCTGGGATTATATTCAATGAAAAGGTTAGTATTTTGTTATATTTTGCTTACTTAAGCCGAAGGCTCAAGTGAGCTTTTCAGGTTTAAATTTGACTGTTTTCATTCGTTGTGTTGTTGTCTTAAACGATTCTTCCCCAGAAAGAATGTGACGATTGCGACTAAACTTGACAGGGAGAGTCCTGTGTAAAGGGGAGTCAAGTTTGATCAAACACAGGATCTCTTGCCGATTTCCAAGGGAAGATAATTAAGAAAAATAAAAATTGGATGGGCCCATTTTAAAATCTTCTCAAAAACAACTGGACAAAATTATGACCAAAGCTATAGTTGGTAATTTATATAGGAGTATTGTCAGGTAGATAAAATTCAAGTTTGTTTAATTATGACCACTGAAGTCGGGCACCAATGAGCGATCAAAGTTTTACATGAGTATGCATGATAATTTCTCTCTACTTAACAACGGGAAAACCATTATTAAACATATTAATGTAGAAGCATGCTTAAATATGTTCGAATGTGCTTAGATTATGACTTTTGGGGAAGGGGAATAGGTAACAATTATTGATGAAAGTTATAATCATTTACATCAGATTACTTAGACTATATCATTGAAGTCCTTTTGGTCCAAGAATAGCAAATGCATGAGAATGTATTATCTTATTGATTCAAAAACCGTCCCAGGTAATGTAGATTTGTTCGTCGGGGGTAGGGTGGTGAAAAGATAAAAAGGTCAATATGGAAAAAAAAAAACATTTGACGCCGTTATAAGACAAAGATATATGTAAGAATTTCAAATAAGGGTAGGACCGTCACAGTTGCTCGATCGGTACATGTAGAGCGCATGCCCTGGGAAGGTCGTGAATTCAAATCTCGGCCGCCATTTAACTAAGTCGATAAAAATTAGATAGCAACTGTTAAATCTGGGGGTCCACTGCCACAAGTGCCAAGCAAAGGTCAAAATTTGAAGCCGGTCATGGGTATAGGGTTTCGGTTCTTTAAGCGTGAAAATTTACAAATGAGACGTAAAACTTCCATACAATTAATCAGTCAAATACCGTAAATTCGAAAACGTACAGATCATGTCCCTCTTTCCTCGATAGAGGGGACATATGCAATCACCTGATATGTATACTTAAGTTTTTCAAACAATAATGATTTCTGTCTTTTTTCTTAGTTAATAGCGCTCAGTTGAGCGATGTGACCCATGAAAATCTTATTATATAATCTGGTATTTGAACAATACATAAATGGCATGATCCCACTAAATGATGATTCACTGACATATGGCCTTTTTTCTCAAATATTACGACGGTTTCTAATGGAACGTTTACTCCTTCTTGGCACCTGTTCAGACAATGGTGTTTCTAGGAGTCGGTGAATTTTACCTTTTTTCGTGGTTTGTGTGATTTGAGATCGATCATTATTAATTTCGTTATCCCTACATTTACTGCTTAAGTACAGGTCTCTGTAAGAATCAGACAAAAGGTGAATCATGAGGGTTCTCAGAATTCGATGATTTTACACACATAGGTTTCTCTTACACTATGAACCACGTATGTAAAATGAAAATTATTTTGGGTCCTGGTTACTATGGAAACATGGCCAAAGAAATTTTCCCTAGCAACCGGTCAATTTTCCATGCTTATGGACATATATATCAATAAACTTAGAGGCTTGAAATTGAATGTGAATATTACCAGAGGGGTTCTTAAATAATGTTATCATAAAGATAAACATTTCAAGTGATAAAACCATGCAATACATACTTTTTTTATTTTAAGATATTTCTTTTACGGGCAATGGAAGATATGCATGTTTGCTTTTTTGCTGATTCAGCATTTTTGTAAATTTGGGCAATTTTCAAGGCCATATATCTCAAACTTCCCGCCTAATACAAGAGTATGGTATATTTTACATAAAAACAGAGGAATTTCTCTTTTGGAATTTAAATTCAAAAACGTGTGTTTTTTAATATTTACAATCGGTTGCCTAGCAACAAAAATGGATGTTTTGATTGAGAGAAAGAGACAAATTGTCAAATATGCGAGTTATTTATGGAATTAAATCTTATCGGTGGATACCAAAATCAATTTTTGAAGTAAAAACATATTTCTGAGACTTCTTTATGAATCCAGGAATATTTTGCAAGTACTTATCGCCATAGCAACAGAAATTTCCCCTTAGCAACAAAGAAAATAAATCCACTTTTGATTCATTCACAGATTTGATTATTTTCGTCTAGAAATGATGACTTGGTAAATATTCAAAAATAGTGTTGAACTCTAACAATAGAAATGATTGTTCTTAATTAATGCATAGCAATATTTCTGAGCTTATAACGTTAAAAAAATTATACATTACAAGAAGCTCAAGTTATTCTCTAAAGTCTCTGTACAAAAGCATTTTAAGACCAATTCTCCGTAATTATCAAAATTGGTTGGCAACGCATAGTTACAGATTTGATTTTTTTTCTGTCATAATTTTAAACAAATGTGTGATTGGCTGTGAAATGTAGAAGTATTTTTGAATTAAAACCTCGGTTGCCATGGAAACGGGATACAGGAGATAATCAGATTTGTGTTTAAATTTTTAAACCAATGCTAGAGATTCAAACAACAATATTTACGGTTCAATTTTAATTTCACACTTGTTAATGGTCATGCTAGGTACTGGGAACTATCAAAATATGGTAATTTACAAATTAAGCATAGAAAAATGAAGGTCAATATTTTATTATATTTAACATTTTAAATATTAAAATTCGAAGAGGTGAAGAATTTTAGAATTTTAGGTGAAGAAGAGGTCGAAGAATTTTAAAGGTGAATATTGATTTTTTTCTGCATTTTGAAGCATTTTTGCTTCCCAATTACTTCCCTTGGATTACTCTCTAAATGATTTTTTTTTATAAATAATTATTACACGCTGGGAGCAAGTCCCTGTGCTTTTTTCTTTCCATTTTGTGGCTTTCATGCATTTAACCCGAGATTCCTCTGCTTTGAAAATTGTTACACCTGAAGGGGCCTCTGCCCTGACTCCCCCCCCCCGACCCCGGTACATTTCGCAATAAAAATATATTACATGTAAAAACACGTTGATGAGAGACAATGTAGACATATGTCAGGTCAGACAGTGACAGACACAATCTCTATGTATCACTGTATATATACTTAGAGTAGCTTGCTTAGACGGTTAGATGTTTAAACTAGCATGATTTACAATTTTTACCACACAAAGTTTTCCTCATGAGCAATCTTTTTATGAAGTTAAAAAGTGCATCTTGGTGCACAGGGGCTTGCTCCAGGTGTATAAAAAATATTTATTGAAATATCATTGTTTGTTTAATTGGTATATATTTTTATTTAATTTTTTTAACAATAAAAGCACACCTTTAGCTAGCACCAAATTTTATTTTAATGCAATAATACATTTCCTTTATTTCCCTTAACTGTAACTGTAAAGTTGGGGGTGCCTTTTAATAAAGATTTCCTACAGTGATAAGTTACGTTCGAAAATACTGGGGGTGGGGGGCAGCCCCCACCATTGGGCCCCCTGTTGCTACATCCGTTGTTTGAAACAATTGTCCAAAGTGGGTATGATAAATCTACAATATATCAATAGGGAATCAATGCCCTAAGCAGGACAAATTAATACAGAAAAATTGCCTGCAATTGTCCAAAGTCAATACTTGCCATATAAATGTGGGACAAAAAGAATTATAGCCTAATATTTTGTACTGTAAATTTCTATCCATAGTGTTCATAGCATTATTGATCACTTTGCATGAGATAATATATTTTTACCAAGCAATAGATTTCGAAACTCAACATACATCTTTCGAAGTCTACAGGCGCCCGCGTGGCGCAGTGGTTAAAGCGTTTGCTCGAGAGTCGCAAAGGAGTCAATCCTTACATCCCGTGTTCGAATCCCACAGTGGGACGTGGAGACCGGTCCTTCGGATGAGACCGTATAAACCAAAGTCCAGTAGGTGCTGGCACGAAAAAAGATCCCTTCCTGCTCAGTGCCAAGTATATGACAAAATTTACAGCTCTCCACCGGCAAGTGGTGGCGTCTCCATGTGAGTGAAAAATTCTCAAGAGAGAGATGTTTAACAATATACACAATCAATCAATCAATCGAAGTGTACAAAATCTCTTTAATTTTGTGTTTTGTTTTTTTTTTAAACTTGTAAAGCATTAATTTCAAAAGATTAATCAAACTGTTTTTGTAACTTACAATGATATATAGTGTTACTTAAAAGGAGGGGTGTTTTGATGTATTCAATAGGTATACCCGTATACATCAATACACTAAAAATTGTACAACAAAACATAATTATATCTGTACACCGCACTATGTACCCTTTTCAGAATACATATAACATTATGGTAATATATTGTGAATTAGGTGAATTTCCTCTTGAACTGGTCAGGGAAAAGAAAATCCTTAAATATTGGGGTTTTTTTTCTTTTTAATTAGTGATAATTGTATTCTTCAAGCATGTCTCCAAAAAAGGATAGAAAATAATGATGACTGCATTGTAAATATCAAAAATGAATTTCATTGGCTAGGCTTTGCAAAATTGTACATGTTCGATAGAATCTGTAACACAGTGTACATATGTACTATACTCCCGAAGACCAAGTGCCCTCAAATTAGTACAGTTACTTAGTCATTAGGGATGTCAAAGAATATTCGAGTACTCGACTATCGTTCGATCATACCGGTCAACTATCG